CAGACGTACTACCTGAGACTTAACTGCGGGGCCTGCTGGATGAACAGCTTCAATTCCAACTTCCAGGATGGTCCCATATATCGAGTGTAACGATGTGCAAATTTGTAAGATCTTTGTGACCACATAACAAGCACACGATATCAAGGTCTATGGCAAATCAAGATTACTGCTGTCCTTGATATATATATATGGCACGTTTACACTTGACCGATATATGCGACGTATCAAGTGTGAGACTGAGTAGGGGTTCTAGTGGTCAACACAATCATTAAAGAGAGGCGAGTTCATGTGAACTAGTCTAAGCAGGAAGGATGTTAGCATGGGTGGCTATGTTTTCTGCCAACTGTACTAGCCATATGGTCCTATTCTGCGCCGTTATTCTCTCCCGGTTACACATGACCGCGCTGTAACCCTAACAGTGATTTGGCATATAGCCAGTCTCATATATGAACCTCTATGCTTCCTAGTCGAATAATCAGGCCTTTCTTTAACATTGCATTTATGTAATACACACGATTAGACGCCGGATTGTATTGATGTATGAGGTGTTACGCGTAAGGCATACAGCACCCTACGAAATATCAATTCATGGATGATAACAGCTTTCCAAACCGTCCAGTTGTTGCTGTAGATAAATCATAGTAGTACAAATTCAGGGTGTTTTATACACAAGCTACATGCGACCCTGTTTATAATCTAGTCATATATAATAGGCAAGGCGGAGCCACCATATTCTCAGTCTTGTCTCATAGAACCCAACCCAGGCCCCCTTGCTACTAATATATCCAAATGAAACTGATACTCACAATCTCAGCGTTTCTTAGCCTCGCCTCACCTCTCTTTGGTCAGTCTACTTCTGCTGTCAATAGAGACCATGCCATTACCAGAATCACCTCACCCCGGAACATTGCTGCCGCCGTAACTGCACAACCCTCCGCACCCCCGCCTGGCATTCCCAATCCTGAGAGTGGCATTAGTAATCTCATATCACTCCTCCAGCGTCTCAGCGAGCAAGCTATTGTTCTTCAAAAGACCCTCTCTACAGTCGAATTAGACAAGAATAGCATCCCTTCGATCCGCGCCCAGACCCGAGCCATTACCGCCACAGGCGACGCCTCAATAGCCCAAGCGCTCGCCTTGGATTACTTGGACACGCTTGACAGCACAAGGGTGAGTCTCAGCACCGTCGCATTAAAGCCGATTTTCGGTCACCTATTGACGATTATCAAAAATAAGGTGAGTGAGCCTCGGATGAATGCATGCAAGTTGATGATAGACTAAATCATGATAACTGGTAGAAAATCCCGCTTTGTGAAATACAATACTGCAAAGAGATGCACGACTGGATAGGAGTGGTGCGAATTAGCGCACTTAGGCTGTGTGTCGCTGTCACTGGTATAGTCAAAATTTCGGAAGGACTTGTGGTTGAGGAGGCTTGGGCCAGTGTGGACCGTCGGTTCCCGGCAGTCTTGGTGGAGTTTCACGAGCCGTTTGCTTGATAGAGAGCAGGTGGACGTTATTTGGAAGCTTGGGACTACTAGGAACGGATAAATATCACAGCATGGATATGAGCTAAAGTGGGCTGCTTAGACTTGCCAAGCCGGCGAATCCATTGTCGCCATAACCATTTAGCCGAAAGTCCCGAACAAGCTATGGATCCGATGTTCTTTCCAAGCACCCGAAGCTGCTTCTTCCTCTCCACTCAGTGCATGTCTTGGCCAATATGGTAGCCCTAGTAGCCCTATTCTCACCTCAAACCACCTTTTCACGAATCTTGAGCACAGGTACCCCCAAAAGTCCAATCCAATAGTCCTGGACCTTTGCTACTAACGCCATATGATCCATGACAGACCCTCCTTCCCTTCTAGCAGACCGCCTGTCCATCCCAGGCACCACGTATGCTAGGAAAAAGGAATAGACCAACAGACCTCAGCCCCCTCCCAGCTTACCCCAGTCTCATACTGTATGTTAGTCGTCATTGAAAATCAAGGCAACCTTTCCGTTGTAGGTGTCTAAATTGAGGCATATTGATAGGTTTAAACCTAATCAGGATATCGGATGAGCCGAGTTGCAGAAGTTGAGAACAGTGGGTGAAATCGGGGGTTTGGTAGGTAGGCAATGCTGGGCGGAACGGGAAGGGTCTAGACAATTTATTTTTTGGCCAGCTGGTGCGTTTCACTGAGATTAATAGTAAGCAAACTACTCGCTCGAAGTCGTAGACTGTGGATAATGGATAACTACAGGCAACCGAAATCTCCGGGCAGAAGGCCCTGGAGGCAGGAGGAAACCTGGATAAGAGAGTAATGTTTGAGTATAGATCTGTAGGCAAGAAAGGACTGGGAGGAAGGAAGTATCGCAGACAAGACAAGTCACTGAATAAGAAAGAATGGGGCCATCAGAGAAAAGAATCTAAACGGGAACGTGCAGGTATGTCACGGAGAAAAATACCATGATCCCCAATTGATATGGTTCCATGGCCCCTGGAGACTTAAACCTAGTGGTATGATAAACATATGAGCTACATTCTCAGTAAATCCAACATTACTCCCAAGCTCTGTTGATATTCTCCGATAATTCACCGATAACCAACCAACCTACTCCCGTCTAGATCCAATTGGTCTATATGCATGATGGATATCGTCAGCACAGGCAGAACCCTTTAATTTATTTCTGGAGATCCCGTTCTCCACAATGCTTGGTTGCCGACTGCCACAGACCATCGCTAACTTGAAGCGGAAAGTGCTCCGATGAAGGGTCTCATTTTGAAACGGAGGATTTACATGTCAATGTTGTAAGTTGGCTTTAATGATGGCGCAACCTGCTATAGCTAGTTGGCTTACTTCGTCCTGCCTGCCGTATTGGACACGGAAAGTCGGACAATAATAGTGTTAACAGTAAGCGTCATTGACTAGAGTTGATGTATTTAAAGCTGCGTCGTCTGCCGCCCCCTCCGTGTTCGTGTCTTATTCCAAACAATCAATTTCTATTCCTTTCGAAGTTCTTTAGATCTGCCGTTCCTCTGCTTTATTGCCCAACATGAAGCTCTCCATGACACTTTCCCTGTTTGCGGCCACCGCCATGGGCCAGACGATGTGCTCTCAGTACGACAGTGCCTCGAGCCCCCCATACTCGGTGAACCAGAACCTCTGGGGCGAATACCAGGGCACTGGCAGCCAGTGTGTCTACGTCGACAAGCTCAGCAGCAGTGGTGCCTCATGGCATACCAAATGGACCTGGAGTGGTGGCGAGGGAACAGTGAAAAGCTACTCCAACTCCGGCCTTACGTTTGACAAGAAGCTAGTCAGCGATGTGTCAAGCATTCCCACCTCAGTGACATGGAGCCAGGACGACACCAATGTCCAAGCCGATGTCTCATATGATCTGTTCACCGCGGCGAATGCGGATCATGCCACTTCCAGCGGTGACTATGAGCTTATGATTTGGTATGTGACGTCGTGAACAAGATAGATGGAGGAGGCTAACGTAACCAGGCTTGCCCGCTACGGCTCAGTCCAGCCTATTGGCAAGCAGATTGCCACGGCCACTGTGGGAGGCAAATCCTGGGAGGTGTGGTATGGTACCAGCACCCAGGCCGGTGCGGAGCAGAAGACATATAGCTTCGTGGCAGGATCTCCTATCAACTCGTACAGTGGGGACATCAAGGACTTCTTCAACTATCTCACCCAGAACCAAGGCTTCCCGGCTAGCTCTCAGCATTTGATCAGTGAGTTTTCCTAATTCTACTACCGAGCGCCACAATGAAACGGTCACTAACAGAAATGATCACTAGCCCTGCAATTTGGAACTGAGCCGTTCACCGGTGGCCCGGCAACCTTCACTGTTGACAACTGGACCGCTAGTGTCAACTAAGACTATCAAAAGGCTTTAGGCGCAGCCTGGGTAAATAGAACCCATCGCGGGAAATAACAGCTTGGTTCTTCGTTCTAGAACGTCGGCCGTGTAAAAGCTAGAAAATCCACCCACTCTGATTGGAAACACTCATTCAAGATCGGTACTCCTCTTCAGCCGAGAAAGGCACAGATAGTGTATCGAATCCAATCAAATCTACTTGGTGTTGCTTAAATTCCGAGCCAGTCCTTTCCTTGAAAGGTAACCCACCCGTAGAGCGATGATCATTAACAGATCCGAGTCGTGCTAGGTTAAATTGCTAACCGATCCCGCTCAATTAGCTAGCGCATCCGGCAGATTCAAACTTGACAGTGGGCCAGGTATTTACTGAACCCTGTAGAAGTAACAGACCCTTGTCTAGAAATCTCTAAATAGTATAAGCCGAAACTTGCCCCGGACCATTCAGGTGCCCTAAGCTAAGATTGCTCTTCGCAGTCCCAGGCGGTGAACTCTAAAGAGGGAGCATCACTTTCCGATATCTGATTCGGGGATCATGACGTCCGGTTTGGCAACTCAATGTTCTGTGCTAGACAGACCTTGCAATAGTGGATTAATTTCACGGCTTATAGTCTTCCACGGCTAATCAATTCCCGCGGCTTATGGCTCTCCACGGATTGGGTCTGAACTTCTGCACTTCGTAATGAGTGTGAATCAGACCATGCTAGTATCATCGGCATATAAGCCTGAATATGGGAGCCGAGATGGCCGGGGCTTAAATTAGATGGACGTCACTAGACAGGGGTATCTAAGACATCCAATTCTTAGTTGTAGCCTACATTTTAGCTATTCTCGGTAACGGCAATTGTTTGCCCTATATGTCAAGGTATTTTGACCGTGCTCTATCCGCGGCAGAATTCAAAAAGATGGCATTGGCTGTGAAGTGGAAGACTTGCTTCCATGCTCACTAGTTGCTTCTGCACCAGCTGTCACGAAAGGTCGGCGGTAGGCAGCCCCCAAACAACATGGTAGATTGGACAATGACTAAAGCTTCTGAAATTACTATGAGTTTCATCTGTCCAGATACTGCCGAATAATATCAGGCTAAATTGTTCTACCCTGATAGCCCCTTCACCGCACATCCTATTTCGGTGCTAGTGTATCAACTTCCTCACTCGCCTTTCTATCAACTCCTCGAACTCATCAACACCTCGCCCCAGGACACTCAACTCCCCACCGCGTACCATATACATGACTCTCCTCCTATTCTCTAACCCATCAACAGTATCATCCTCCTCATCCTCCGACTGCCCTTCATCTATAGCCCCCTCCACAGCCCCCCTCATAAACCATCTATCATGACTAACAGCAACAACCGCCCCATTCCACTCATTAAGCGCCCGCCTTAACGCTGTAACAGTTTCATAGTCCAAGTGGGTCGTGACCTCATCCAGAACAAGGCAATGAGGACGACGCCAGAACAACCGTGCCAGCGCACAGCGAACCAGCTGTCCGCCCGACAGCTTGCGAATAGGTACATCCGAGGCTAGACGCCCAGGCAGTCCCAGCTGACTTAGGAGGCCGCGGATCTCACCCTCTGTCAATTCCCCATTAACATCCTGAGTCAATAGTGCTAGCGATGTGAGTGTTTCATCCTGCGCACCAAGGGCTTGCAGACCCTCCACTCCATGCTGGGAGTAATATCCCAGCCGTAGGCGTGGGTGCGTATTCCTTGTTCCTTGTGTCGCATTTGTTTCTCCAACCAATGTTTGGATGAGTGTTGACTTGCCCGCCCCGTTCAACCCCAATATCCCAATTCGGTCGCCCATACCGACCGAGAGGTCGACATCCCGGATGACGATCGGAGACGTAGATGCATAACGGAAGCTGACTTTTTCAAGAATTATGAGCGATCCTGGAAATCGGAGATCAGGCGGCTCCGGTAAATTTATAATAACGGGGCGTTCTTCTGGGGGTATGTCGATCTCCTCTCGAGCTGTAAAGTGATAGCCAACTAGGTCGCGATTCAACTTAAACCTACCGCCCCTAGCACTGACTTCCATGCCCCACCGGTTATCTAGTTTCTTCTGACGTGACTTTGCTTGTTTGATCTTGTTCTGATCGTCGTTTGCCTTGCCCGCTTTGAGATTGGCTGCGATCGTCTTCTCAATGTGGGCTTTTTGCTTTTCCTGTGCTTCCTTCATCGTCGTGAGATATTTTCGTCGTTCGGATTGCGATATCTCGTATGTGGGCAGATCTCCGTGAAAGTACGTGAGCTGCTTGTCTTTGAGAATGATCAGATCCGTGCAGAGGCTGATGAAGTCTCGATCGTGGGAGACGATAATCATGGTAGGTGGCTTGCGGTTATCCCCCATTGAGATGAGGTATCGTTGCAGCCAGATAATGCCCAGCATGTCGAGGAAGTTTGTAGGTTCGTCAAGGATCAGTATGTCGGCGTCCTGTAAAAGGGTAGAAGCAAGAGCTGCTCGCATGTGCCAACCGCCCGACAAGTCGGAGATAAGCTTTACCATCATTGCAGATGAGAATCCTAATCCGGTCAGGATACTCCGCGCCCTAGTCTCTGTTTCTGCAACAAGAGCTGGTTCGATTTGTGCTTGAAGCTGCGCGAGCAAGTCCACTGCATCTTGAGTCTCTTGCTGGAGGGTGTCGGCCGAGAGGTCTTCGCTGGGTTGTTCTAACCTGAGCAGATGTCAGTTCGGAAGGGCTAGCGCTGATCAAGGTCGATGTCTAACGGATCGTCCACGCACATTCTCTGCGATTCAGCAACAACTTTCTCAAAAGCCACAAGTGCTTTCCTGGCTTGCATCCCTCGCATACCACTGCGTAGTCGAGCATCTTTATCCAATATGAAAAGACGTTTTTGGAGGCGCGCGTGTTTTAGCGATCGAAGGGCTCTAACTGGAGCATAAGGATCTGAAGTATCAATTCCCTGAGACAGTCCTAACTTGTTAGCTAGAAGACAACACCATCAGGTGTATACATACTCGATATCTCTTGTTCGATAGTACTCCTCGACGTGGCCCTCTCTATCACAGTCTGTAGGACATTAAGACCTGTATCATCCCTACCCGCTTGCTTGGGATCATTGACCCCATCCGTCAGTCTGGTTTGCTGAAGTATCGCAATCCTTGTGTTCTCTGGTATTCCAGGAATGAGCTTCTCTGCTATACTTCTCAGCAGAGCTGTTTCGATTAGTGTAAACTGGTCAGCCCATGACTAAATTTGGCGTGTCTAGCAAGGCTGTCTCTTACTCGACTTTCCGGTCCCATTTCGACCGACAAGAGCATATCGCCGACCTTCTTTTAATGACAGGTCCGCGCTGGATAAAATATCGGTACCGTCTTTAGATCTCGCTTTGGATTTCCCCTTTGTGGTGGATTTCTTCTCCCCTGACGTAACGAGAATTTGAAGTCCTTTAATGTCGAGCTAGAGACATGGACATAGTCAACACATGAGACCTATTGATACTGTCTAACTCATTGCTGCAACGGGCTCTTACCTCGCGGTAATTGGGAGATTCGATATGAAATCGAGTTTGTTGGGAGGTACATTGAATCGTTGCAGGTGAGTCCATTTTTCCGGTGTCGGACTGCGCCATGAGTTCGTTAAGTACTTGACTGTCGCTTTGGCGTGTAGTGTAAGCGAAGTTTTCTGCAGCGGACCGAGTGATTTGGCAGCTAATTATGATGTTTGATGTTTGAACCAGTTTATTCGTCGTCTAGGTGGTTTTGAAGATGCAGAGAGCGTGACGAGCAATCTAGACGTCCTCACGGTGCGGTTACATACCAAGCATAAATGATCCTTTTAGGTCGGGGTCCCGAAAGGGTTAAGCTGGGTGCTGATCTGACTGAGAGGGACGGCTAGTAGGCTAGCGCGCAGATACGAATTAAGTTAATGATCGAAATTTGCTTTTCGGGGTCCTGCAAGGGATCATGCTGCTATGTTTTCTTCATTATGGTGAAGGCACCTGTGTTTTGAAGACGGCGAGGGCTGGGTCCATGTCGGGGTCCGAAAAGGGAAAATTAGTCAAAACGAACCACTTGGGACGCCCTCGACAGTATCCACTATATTGCTAATTGGCTTTTCCATGTTGATCGGCAACGTATCACTGGATTAGAAGGTCGAGAGTAGTCATACATCTTTGACTCATTTGGCATGGCAGGCCAATTTTACCAATAAAAAATATGATCAGTATCGTGACTCTAACAAACAGAGGTACGATTCAGGAAAAGTGGGAAGCCTAAGAGATATTACCCAATGATAGCTTAGCATCCTGCGAGTAGGTCTGTAGAAGCAAGCGCAGTATTCGACTTCCTTGGCATGTATCTACACATTCGTCTCCCTCTTTGTAGATACATGCATAGATGGATTATTGTCGCTATTACCAGCTAGCAGATTAGCAGACTTAATGATGTGCCCTTCCACCCTGTGTTTATTGAAGGGCAAAGAAAAGCTTCGTTCCACACATACGATATACTGAGTACTCCCCAAATGGTATTATATAAAGGACAATCTCCAAACCACCACGATACCATCATGCACTATCCACCGTACGATAGATGCGCTGAGGACCCAGCGCCACAACGTATATGGCGATGCAGACAGTATCCAACACATTTAGATTGAGTTCGGGAACCCATTTCCTGGACCGAAGATGGGATGTGCGCACCATGGGGTGGAGTTGATTTATCTCTTCGATGCATTTCATGAGCAGCTTGTTGAGCTGGATGAAATGTCTACTGGACAGGGTGTGGTGAAGCATATGGAGTTGGTGAGGGTTCAGGATCATTGGATTGGGTTTATTGTTAGAAGGTCGGTACAGAAGGGTTGGTGATAAGGAGGTATTGGTTAAGGGTGAGGATGGGGATACTAGGGTTGAGATGTTGCATGAGATGTCTAGGTGGGTGGAAAGGAAGAGGCGGCTTGAGGTGCTGGGGAGGGATGTTAAGTCTATGATATGGGTATTTTGGGCTTTGGGGTAGATGCTTCTAGAGGAGGTCTGAAACTTTGTGGGGGTAGTCTTTGTGAAAAGAATTTCGATAGTATAGTGTAAAGATTGTGTAGGTATATTGCGATCCTATATTAATGTTCCCATAAAATATTGACAGAGCCAAACTCCATCTGGTATATGGTATCTTGTCCAATGAGTAATACAATGTCAATCTGGATATCACCGCCTCAAAACAACAACAGCTCTCTATCGAGAAAGCACTCTAATCTAATCCAACTAAGCCCCCCTTACTCGCTGCGCTTCTCCACCTCAACCTCCGTCCTACCAGCACCAGTCTCCGTGCTCTCACTGTCACCACTAGCAGGCTGATCAGCAGGACCGAATCCGTACTGAACAGCAACCTGCTCGACCTCCTCATCGGTCAAGAACGGCAATTCCTTGGCCGCACGCACATAGGTCATCTTCTCAAGGTATCCCTTGGCGAAAATCAAATCAATTTCTTCGAGTGATCTGCCCTTTGTCTCGGGGTAGAAGAGGTAAATGACCGGGATGAAGAGGGCGTTGATGACCGCGAAGAAGAGGTACGTGCCCCATCCAATGTTGCGAATCATAATGGGGGTGACCATGACAATGAGGAAGTTGAAGAGCCAGTTGGTGCAGGTGGAGATGGCGTTGGCCTTGGTACGAGTCTTGATTGGGGAGATTTCAGCAGGGTAGAGCCAGGGAAGCGGGAGCCAGGTAGCGCCGAAGGTGGCAATGAATGTGAACAAGCCGACGGCGGCACCCTTGGCGGCTTCGGGGCCACCGGGAATCAAGCAGGCGAAGGTAATCACCATGGAAGCACTTTGGCCGAAAGAGCCGACAAGGAAGAGGTTGCGACGGCCGACCTTTTGGATCAGGAACCAGGATGAACAGGCGAAGATTGAGTAGACGATCATGTTGACACCACCAAGAATCATGGCCATGAATTCGGTCTGGTGGAGGGATTGCTGCATCAGGACGGGCAAATAGTAGATGACAGCATTGCAACCACCGATCTGCTGGAAGAATTGAGATGAGCAGCCCAGAAGCATGCGACGGCAGTGCTGGGTCTTGCCGCCGGTGAAGACGGCGGAGAGGGGAGTGGACTTGGTGGCCATGCCGGAACTGGTGAGGTTAGCTTAGGCTATGGATGATTTGAGGGCAGGGGACATACGCTCTGAGAGAGTCCAGAATGATGGTCTTCTGCAGCTGGACTTCGTGGTGGCTAATCTCCTTGCCCTGCAAGGCGGCAATGACACGCTCACCTTCCTCATAGCGCTCCTGGGTGAACAGCCATCTGGGAGACTCGGGCAGCACCATGAGACCGAGGATGATGAGAAGACCAAAGAAGATCTGGAAAGCGATGGGGAAACGCCAGGTAAGGTCATCGGGACCATAGGAGGCGCCGAAGTCCACCCAGTAGGAGATCAGGGTTCCAATAGCAATGGTACTACCCTCGATACAGATGAGCAGACCACGATTGGAGGTCCTTGAACATTCAGCCTGATATGTGGGGATGGTGGATGTGTTCATGCCGTTTCCGACACCAGTAATGACACGTCCGACACAGAATTGAGCCAGAGGGACGTGTCCCTTGACAGACGTAACCTGGATGATAACACCGATGATCATGATGGTGGCACCCAGCATGATGGAGTATCTGCGGCCGAGCCAGTCACCGCAGGCGAGGATAAAGACAGCACCGGCGAGACATCCTAGAAGGGTTAGAGTCTGGTTGTGAGCCAAAGACAAGGGATGTACCTACCCAATTCATAGATAGCAGTGACCACACCCTGAATGGTGGAGTTGTCTCTCGTAGCCGTGAAAATGTCGTTGAACGGATCGGCGTCAATAATACTGCTCATCACACCCTCTAAATTGAGGTTAGCTCAAGGCTAAAAGCGCCAGGCAAAGGAAAAGCCTTACGATCGTAACCAAAGAGCAAGAAACCCAAGGTCGCACAGGAAGTCACAGACCAGATCAGCTTCCGACCGGACAAGCCGGCGAAAGTGGGCACCGAAGACATGGTGAGATGTCTTATTTTTGGCTGAATCAGGACTGATGCAGGTCGCAAGCAACGGTGGGATTGAACGGGAAGCGACGCGACCTCTTTATAGCTAAGGGCTGCACCCCGGAAAAACCGTGAGCTCTGCGGGGTGGAGGTCGGGCTGCATTGCTTGCTTCAACGACCAGGATAATCGGAAGAAGAGCTTTTCGGTCACACCAATCAGCTCATCTCGGCAAGGGCAGGGGAGACGAATGAACGGGGAGAAATGAAGGCATCGAGGAAGGTTCAGGGCCGCGTTCCCTCCTTGGCTCCCGGCCAAGGGCTGGGCAGATGAATGCCGAGATCTTGGTTCCAGCCAGGATGGGAGGTTTGGGGGAAGAAGAGGAAGGACAGCCGAAGACATGACGAGGAGTCTGTCAGACTGTGAAACTGTGAAACTTTTCATTTCTGAAACAGGCTGGTATCCCGAATTCTCGCGGGTTGATGAGGCTGCGACAAGAAATGATACCAAGACAGACCGAGTTGGGGGAGGGCACCCACCACCCACCCACACTTATGCTCTCGGTAACCCTCACCCACTTGCTGCCTCGCTCTCTCTTTGCCTGTCCTCCGCCAACAGCACCTCTACATCAACCGTGGAAAAACACTTAGGACACTCACATCGTAGCGAGACTAATTAAACCAATTACTTTCTACCCTTATGCTTTCAAAAAATTGGTCATTCAGTCAGCACCACCCCCAATCCTCACGCCACTTGCCAAGCCCACCAGCACCACCACCAGTCAGAACAAATCCCGCAACTCGCTGGAAATTGGCCGGATTTCCATTCCAAACTTTGACCGTCGAAATGAAGCAACCCTACCACTCCAGTAACTTTCACCACCACCGTCGGGGGGCCAAGTTAAGTTGCACCGCGCAAGCCAAGAAGCCTTGTCGATCTTGCCTATTCTTTACTTTTACGCCCAGCGACGCCGTTGCCGCAACCGTGTGTGTATGTGCGCGTGAAATTTCAACATAGCCGAAGCCAACCTGCATGCTACTAGAGCGATAGTAATCTTCCTTTCCACGTGTGCCATGCGATGACAAGAGTATCAGGAACATGCCATTGTGGACTCTGATACGCGACTTGCTCTAGCTTATCGCAGCTCAGCTGTTGCCAACGCCAATGCTCATGCTCGTGCTCGCACAGACTAGGATGCTGTGCAGGTAGACTCTATCTAGCTCGTGCATGGCCGACAGCTTGAAACTTAGCCGACTGGTTGTGCTGTTGTGTCTTACCTTAGTTAGGCGGGATAGCGCCATGACTCATTCGTTCATTAAGTGAACTCTTAGGGATTGACACTCGTGGCGCCGATGACGTTGTCGCGTCGAGTAGTGTTCTGCGCTTTGGCAGTTCTGTTGGTGGTGGTGTTGTCCTAGCTAGCTTCTTTGTGGTCTTCTGGTGGATAGATAGACAGGCAGTAGACGGTGGCGTCTTTGAGCAGGGGCCTGACCAAGCCAACGCCATCATCATCATCGTGGCTTTGTGGAAGAGGGAGTGGGGTGAGGTGAGTGAGCGGCAATAAACAGTCCAGGGCACGTGCCACGATCACTTGCTTTGAATGCGGGGACTCCGCATATTCTCAAACAAGTGACAGCCTCGA